ATGAAAGACAATGTCAAACTCGTCTTCTAAATTGAAACTGTAAGCTTTGATGGTTGTACAAGTGTTTACAGATATCCACGTTATTGTTAATATGGAGGCCAGCCGATGGGTATCTTTGTGGGGCCTGTTGCGATTGCGCATGTGTGGGAGACCATCCGAGAATATTATTTCTGGGGGAATTGAGAAGTTGTGGGGGATATTGAGGTCAAGGTGTGCATTCCAATTGCTCTCTGGCGTCATAGCCCGGCACGCGGATCCAACTGTCATTGCGTCGTCCAGCATGGTCGTACTCGTAGCCGCGAAGAAGCATGGTGGATGCTCCGTGCAACCAACCGAATGGTGTTGTGGGGCATCTGAAGCATTTCCCGGCATATGCCCACGTGTGTCTCGTAGATTTAAGAGCGTTCGCGTGTTGAAAAGGCTAAATGCAAGATGCCGACAATACCGAAATTTGATAGTAGCGATGACATGGTAATGCCGGACCGTCAAGATTGAAGGTTTTTTGACATCTGGAGAGTAAGTTTGATGCAAGGTACCATCCATGATGGGTTGCGTTACCGGGTAAGTTGGGCTCTTCCGAAAGCATGTATTAGCCGCTGTCATCCGCGTTGCGCCAGTCCGTCTGCTGACCAAATGAGGCGCAACACACAATGATCAGTTAAATTATAATGAAGCGCAATGCATTGGGCATCCGTGGCGCACGTACGGCACAAAGAGACCATCGTTCGATCTCGGTTGTAAATCTGGTGTGTGGTGTGAGTACGACAGAAGAGCTGCAGAGCGGGGAATTGCAACGCGACCATGACGCGTTGACCTGCAAGGGAGGAAGCAGCCACCCAGCCACCCAAGAATTGCCCATCCCAATCGCAACACCACAAACAACAAGTCTAGATCTGTTTGTAAACATGCTGGGTATTGAAAGACAAACACCGTCAACTACACTACGCTCTGAGTCCCTCCATGAGAGCACCTTCCTCTCTCTTCCCCACAGCCTGAAAGACAGCACCCTCACCACCAATATCCAATCCCTTCTCCGCCCTCTCATACGCCTCATCACTCCTATCCAACAGAATCTCCAACTCCTCCTTCCCCAACACCTTCCCACTTTCCGTAGCCTCGACATCAAACTTTTCTCCATCGCTTCTCCTGAGAAGCTTCTGTAATTCCTCAACCTCTTGCTCCTTCTCATTACCCCGAGTCCCGCCCCGGTCATTCCGCACACCACCCTTTCTAATGACAAGCTTTTCAAGCCGACGCTTTGCTTCTGCAGATTCAAGCAATTTCTGCTCGACTGTGTTGCGCGTTGCGAAGCGGTAGACGATGACGTTGCGGGTTTGACCGATGCGATGCGCGCGGTCCATGGCTTGGAGGTCTTGTTGAGGGTTCCAGTCGCTGTCGAAGAGGATGACTGTATCCGCTGCTGCAAGGTTGATGCCTTGGCCGCCGGCGCGGGTGGAAAGGATGAAAATGTCCGCAGCCTCCTTTGTGGTAGATGGCTTGTTGAAGGCTAGGATCTGGTCTTGACGGTCTGTTTGTGCGACAGATCCATCGATACGAGCGTAGTTCCAGGATCGTAGGTCGAGATAGTGACCGAGAAGATCTAGAGTGGTGGTAAATTGAGAAAAGATCAGGACCTTGTGGCCGCGCCGTATCAGCTCAGGGAGAAGTGCATCGAGGAGCAGCATCTTGCCAGAAGTTGACACGATAGTCTCATCGGGTTCTGTCTCCGATGCGAAGGTTTCGGCTCCGTCAGTGTCTGCTCGTATGAAAGGATTGAAGAAGTTGTATGGCGAGTTGCAGCACAGTCGGAGCTGCATGATGGGGTTACCAAGCTTCTTCTGCATGAGCTGACGCTTTGCGATTTCGAAAGTCGCAGCTCGAGTTCTCTCGTCTTCAGCATCAGAGCTCAGGTCTTGTTCTTCTTCCTCGGATTCTTCCTTGTCTAGACCATCGAAGTACTCATCATCGCTCACTTCTTCATAGTTCTTCTTGGGCCGGCCTCGGCTTCTCGTTGAGGCGACAGATGCGGGCGTACCTGCTCGAGACGTCTTCGCGCTCTTGCTTGGTGTCTCCCTGTTACTCAAAGCCTTACGTTTGAGACTACCGTTGTTACTGCGGATACTCAATGGCGTTCCTGCTCGACTGCTTAGACCAATGCTCAATCGTTCAACAGCCTTTTCTTTGAGGTAGGATCGACTAGTGCCATCAAGAATCGCCTGGTACAGCTCGCGTTGCATGGAAGTCAACGGGGCGTACAACACATATTCGCGTTTCTTGGGCATCAAGCTTTCGACGTCCGTCTTGACTCTTCGCAGCAAGAATGGCTTCAAAACAGCATGCAGTGACTTGACCAGATACTGCTGTCGCTCTTCTGATAACAGTTGTTCGAAGCTCGATTTGTCTTTCAGCCCAGAGAAGTCGAACCAGCTCTCAAATGTGGACAACTTATCGAATACCGTGGGCAGAAGGAAATGCAGCAGCGACCACAGCTCCACAAGATTGTTCTGCAATGGCGTACCGGTGATGAGGAGTCGGTTTGCGGACTGGAACTGTTGCAATTCGCGAATAAGCCGGCAGTCAAGATTCTTGATGCGATGTCCTTCGTCGATGATGATGAACTGCCAGCCAAAACTGGTGAGGTACTTGCGATCGTTCATGCAGATCTCGTAGCTGGTGACCATGATAGGGAAGTCGGCGGTACCGGGGTTCCGTAGCCTAGTCTTGCGCAGCCTTTCGCGCTCCTTCTTATCACCATGGTATAGCATGACCGGCATGCTGGGTGTCCATTTCTCAAACTCTGCGACCCAATTACTTGTGGTGCTGAGCGGCGCGGCGATCAGGAATGGCCCGTACGACTTGTTCTCCCATAGATGTGCGAGCATAGCGATTGTCTGGATGGTCTTGCCCAGACCCATCTCGTCTGCCAGAATGCCATTGATGCCGTTGTTGTAGAGTGACACCATCCATTCGAGGCCCTCGAGTTGGTATGATCTCATTGTACCTCCAGTGACAAGTTTCGGCTGCCGCGCAGACTTGAGGTCTGTCATGCCAATGTCGCCTGTTTTGACATTGTCTTTGTCGTCCTCTGCTGCTTCTTTCAAGGCCTCTCCAACGTCCTGATTACCTGCCTTCTTTTCTAAATCAGCCTTGCTGAAGTAGCTTGCTATGTCCGAAGTCTGCTTCTTGGGTCTACCACGGCCCTTGGTGTCTGTCTTCTTTGGTCTGCCCGCGCGTTTCTTTGGTGTCGCATCCTCTTCCTCCTGCTTCGCCGTTGTCGCGCCATTGGCCGTGGATCCGCGCGTAGCTCGCCGCTGCGATGCTGCTGCTGTTGTATCGGCGATTTGTTCGCGCTTCGAAGTCTGTCCGTTCGTCTTCTCGTCTTGCTCGTGCTCTTGTTCTTCTTGCTGCTGCATCTGCGCAAGCATGACCGATGCATACAGCTGCTATACGTTAGCGATTGTTCAAAGCAGCATAGCATGCTGTCTCAGAAATGAACTGACCTTGCTCTTGTTCATCAAGAACTCCAATTGCTGGAACTTCTTGTCGAGTACCTCCCTGCCGCTCTTGATGTCTTCTTGCCTCTCCATCTCTAGTTGTGCTTCGCGTTTCGCGTCATCTTTTTCGCGTTGCGTTCTCATGCGCTTCTCCTCCCGCTGCATCGACTGCGGTACACTCTCTGAATCCATGTCGGCTGGTGGTGGCGATGAAGCGGGTGTAGAATGCGATCCAGACATTGCGCTCGTAACGGGGGAAACGGTCATGTCGCGTACGATGAGAAGTATTGCTTAAGAACAGGATCAATGGGAACGATGGTATTGTATCTAGCGCCAGGGGTATGTGGTGATGACCGCATGCAGTGGAACGCGGTCGTGATGAAGGGGACGCGCTAAGTGGAAAATCGATGACGATGTTCTCGACGCGCGATCACGCCTGAACTTTAATTACTTTTGTCCACCCGTCCCGCGACGCGACTACAATCCGGCCAACGCGACATTAGAGCTTCAGGCGATAGAATACTGCGTCCTCTGGGTTCTCGTAATAGCTGTCAATCTCCTCAAACCCGTATCCCTCATACAGCTTTCTTGCAGTCTTCATGCTGCGTAGTGTATCGAGCAGCATCTCTTCATAACCCAGCTTCTTCGCATGCGAAAGCGCAATTTCCATCAATGGTTTGCTGAGACGCATTCCCCGCGTTTCTGGCGCGAGAAACAAGCGCTTGAGCTCGCATGTCTTGGTGGGTGGTGATGTCGATTGTGCTAGTAGTGCTGCAGATTCAGCCGTGGTGGGCGTCGCGAAGAAGGGTCGGATGGCTATGCATCCTATGGCTCGCTCGTTCTCTCTTGTGGTGCTGAAGCCGGCGGTACTTTCGTGACTTTCCCCGTCCCCTGCCGAGGAGACCAGTAGCCAAACAGCCCCTCCCTTTTCAAGTGCGTATTTGCCAGGTAGTTCCGCCAATTCGTGGTCGAAATTTTGAAAGTCGAGGCTGATGGGCAATGACTCCGCATACGCCCTGAACAGCTGCCCCACCACCTGCTTGTCGGCGGGGAATTCGGCGTCGCGGATATGTATGTTGGGAAGCTCAGGCATGTCGGTGTATGTGGGTCCTTGAGCTGCGGAGGGATAATGAGCTTTTTGAAGATGCCGTGAGGATCGCAGGTGTAGTAGATGTACCAAGCTTGATTGCAACACGTCTCTGTTTGCTTCAAATACTAATCTGCCTTCGCGACGTTGCTCTTGAAGGGCGCAGTTCTAGCCTGACTAGCCTATGCGTATTCTCCACTCTCGGAGTTCGGAGTGGGACTCATGTTCTCGAGGGTTCGCTAATGGTGGAGCATCGTGAGCGCTCTAACCTCACCAGCGCCTCAGTTTTCTTCCAGCTGTTTCTACAATCCGATTATTAAATATCTAACTCCTCAAATCGTCATCAAATCACGTGTTACGGTCTTATGGTGAGCCCACATCACCACACCATTCAGCATCAACACCATCTAACAATCACCAGGTCTAGTGGTATGATTCTCGCTTAGTAAGTCGCACTGAATACAATTCGCTCCCTTCAATTCTAACAATTCCTAGGGGTAAACCCAAGCACAGCTTGCGAGAGGCCCCGCGTTCGAGTCGCGGTAAGACCCATCACTTCTTTTTTTATGTTTTGGAAGGACCCAGTCTTGAATGACTTCTTTTTTGCATGCACACCATATAAGGAATAGAAGTTTTCTTACAGCGCATCAAGCGTACGACTTATGTTACCTTAGGCTAGATCGAATGCAATCCTCTGTTCTACCAATGACTTTGAAGACCGTTGCTTCGGGTTCTACTAACAAACTATATCCTGGGACCTGCGTAGCTGAGCACTTCGCGACCTCTCTAACAAGACACTCTTCTTCCTCATACGTTTCAAGGCAACCCGCACTATTCGCAAGTTCGTGGCGCAGTGCTTCGTGGATTTATATATCTGAGAAGGTGCCTTCCTTCTGCTACTCGCGCCTCCCCCACCATACCTGAGTACCCCTCACCCAATGACCATCCGCCCGGCAACACCGGCCGATGAGCCTGCCATGGCATCTCTCCTGGCCAAAGCATTCTTTGATGAATCGCTTTTTGGCCAGACCCTGCATCCTCACCGTAATCAGTACCCAGACGATGTCAAGATATTCTGGTCCGAGTACCTGCGGGAGCACTGGAAGACACCCAGCGAAATACTTTTTGTTGCAACAACGACGGTAGATGGGAAAGAAAAAATTGCTGGCGCAGCTATCTGGAATAGACAGGGTGATGACGAGGGAAAGCGCAAGGTGGAGAGCGAGTGGGTTGATGTCGGTAAGTATTTCCAGTTGTCCTGAATTAACTGGTACCTATGCTAACATACATACAGGACCGGATGCGTTCCAGCCTCTCCCCTCAACAACAAATCGCGCTCTTGATCCCACCAATCGCAACATCTTGGAGGAAACTATGCCCTACTTCAAGCACCACTGGGATGGCGACCGCAGAAACAACTGGTATCTCGACATCCTCGGTGTTCATCCAGACTATGCTGGCAAATCGCTCGGGCGAGAACTGGTCAGCTGGGGGCTTGACCGCGCAAGACAAGAAGCCGTCCATGCAAGTGTCGTGGCTAGCAAAGGGAACGAGCGCTTCTACCTACGCTGTGGATATGATGAGATAGTCGGAAACTGCACAGAAGGAGAGGGCAACCCGCTCAAGAATGCCGGAGTTGAAGGTGGAGATATTCTCTTCATGTTTCCCAAGCAGAAGTAGGAGTCTACTGCCTCGTAGGGCGAATCTGCCCAAGCATCAACCGACAATCGTATCTCGCACAACCTGTTCCGACGCGTCCGTCGTCAAGATGGTAGCCGATGCGTCACGACGCGTCGCGGTGCTACCAAGCCGATTCTCGGTCCGACAGATTCCTACATTACTCGCTAGCGAGACTCCGAACCTTTCCAACCAATCACCAGGTCACCAAGTTGAGCCGAGTAATCTCCCGGTGCTTTTGCGGGGGAGCTTTTGCGCGCTTTCTTACCATCGTCGTCATTTGCGGGTAATCGGGGGACGGAGCAAGAATAGATCGGACTGTAGAAATAAAAATGGCATCGCAGGTTGGCATCGTGCGGAAGTACCTCAGTCATCTCTCAGTTTACTACAATCATGAGGCGCTCATCTCCTATCTTGGTGTCTCTTGCAGCACTAACAGCAAGCCATATCATTCCTCGTCAAGAATCCATTGATTACAATGTTGCTCCACCGAACCTCTCCACTCTAGCTAATGCCTCGCTTTTCGACACATGGCGACCGAAGGCCCACGTTCTCCCAGCGTTTGGACAGATCGGGGACCCGTGTATGCACTACACCGACCCTGAAACCGGCCTCTTCCACGTGGGATACTTGCATCTGGGTGCATCAGGCGCGACTACAGACGACTTGGTTACATACAGCGACCTGAACCCCAACTCCGAGCCGTTCATCCGCGCTGGCGGCATCAACGACCCCGTTGCTGTCTTCGACGGCAGCGTGATTGAGAGGGGAGTCAACGGCACACCAACATTGCTGTACACCAGTGTCAGCTTCCTGCCAATCCAATGGACGATCCGGTATACCAAAGGAAGCGAGACACAATCACTTGCTTTTGCTACGGATGGTGGACGTAACTTCACAAAATCAGAGTTCGGTCCTGTCATCCCTGACCCACCGTTTGCTGTCAACGTCACCGGCTTCCGCGACCCCTTCGTATTCCAGAACTCGCAGGTTGATGGCTTGTTGGGCAAGCGAGATGGAACGTGGTATACCGTTATCTCGGGCGGAGTACATGGCAAGGGTCCTAGCCTCTTCCTGTATGCCCAATACGATGACGAAGACAGAGATTTGTTCCAAACCTGGGAGTACTTGGGCGAGTGGTGGCATGAAGCAGCGAATTCGACCTGGACGGATGAGGGTTGGGCGGGACGCTGGGGCTACAACTTTGAAGTCGCCAACTACTTTGCTTTGGACGAGCAAGGTGCTAACCCAGAGGGCGAGATCTTTGTTACAATCGGTGCGGAATGGAGCTACGAGCCTATTGTGCCTCAAGTCTCAGACAACAGGGAGATGCTCTGGGTGGCCGGAAAGCAAGAGCTTGTTGACGGTAAACTGACTTTCGAACCTACGATGGCTGGGCGACTCGATGCCGGACGATCTGCGTACGCTGCCGCTGGTAAAGTCCTTCCTGCGGACTCACAAGCCAGCAAATCAAGCGGCGCTCCGGATCGCTTCATCACGTACCTCTGGCTGACAGGCGACTTCTACGGTACCTTAACCGACGAGTTCCCAACTCCCCAGCAAAACTGGACAGGATCCCTACTTCTTCCCCGTGAACTCAGCGTCGGCCACCTAAACGTCATCGACAACGAGCTCTCCCGCGAGCAAGGTGCATGGAGAGTAGATTGCGAAAACGACAACGGCACAGTCACCCTCGCGACCCTCCACCAGAAGATCGCCCGGGAACCGTACGCCGCATTCCAAGAAAATGCCACGAACGTCATAACCCAATCCGGCGGATCCATGACAAACGCAACGAAATTCAGCGAAAGCCCAAAGTCAAAGCATTGGATGATGGCCGCCTCCGTCACCTTCCCCTCTCGCTCTGACGACGTACGTGCGGGCTTCACCATCCTCTCCGGAGCCCAAGAATCCACAAACATCTACTACCAATTCAGCAACGAAAGCATGATCATCGACCGTTCGAACTCTTCTGCCGCGGCACAGACTACAAACGGTATCCCCACGGACAATGAATCGGGCAAGTTCCGTTTGTTTGATGTTGCGGGCGGACATGGAAACGAGACCATGGTTGAGACGCTGGGTTTGACGATTGTGGTTGACGGTGGTGTTGTTGAGGTGCATGCGAATGATAGGTTTGCGGTTAGCACTTGGGTGAGGAGTTGGTATGGGGATAGCACGGATGTTAGTTTCTTTGTGGAGGGTGGGGAGGTGAGGTTTGGTGATGTGACGGTTTATGAGGGGTTGGTTGATGCGTGGCCGCAGAGGAACTAGAGTGTTGGAATTTTTTTTATAGAGTCTTAAGCTTTCACTCGTTAGAGTATGCTGCTATCGTGTAGAGTGTTGAAATATGGAGCTCCAGTGGGAGATGTATATAGTAAGAGCTGTTGTATGATACTGTACCCTATGTTGTTCAGATCTGTTGACTACAGTAATATTATCAGGTATTCGTTTAGACTGTCGAATGCGTTCATAAGTATCTGACTCAAGTCATCCGTCAGAAGGACGACTGAATGTTTCAGGGGAAATTTAGCTCAAGATCAGGCTCGCTCATGTATTGGGTTTCGGTGCTGGGGGAAACCGTGGGTAGCGGGGAAGATTACGTCAGCGACGTCGAGGATATCCCTCCTTTTGGCTAGCACTGCCGCGGTTGCACGAGAAGGCGCGGTGGCGCGCTCTCACCACGAGCGAAACACAGTCGGCCAGACGCAGCTCGCAATGAAATGTGTTTCTCATAGTCCCAAATCACCTACCTCTCCCATTCCGAATTCGCTCAGACACGTATAAGACATCGCGTATCTGGTTTCGTCCGAGTTCCTTTTCTGCTAAGCGCGTTGCTGCCTGCGCCTGCCTCAACGCGCGATATAAGCTCACAGTACCCTGGCACCTTTCACGCCCAACTGTGTCAGAAGCAATTCTCGTGACGCGCAATCGTCAGAACCTTCTCGTCGCCCTCCATCCACCGACACATCCGCATCCCCATTATCGAAAACCACAACGCAACCCCACCAACGAATCTCGACCCGTCCTACACGATGACCATGGCGACAGTTCGCGAAGAAAGAACCCTGTCCGACACTCCAAATGGACTCTTGCGCAGCCAACACGAGTACTCGTACCGACTCCCGACAGCCCCGCGTATCGTGGTTCCCCCGCCTACCCTCACCACCGATATGCCCGGCCTCTCCCTCGGTGGCGCATCTGGAGGGGATGCTGACATGAGCTTCTTGAATGAGCTGGACCTCGAGGACATCATACAGAAGAACACACTGCTGGAATGGGCCTATGAGCGGCGGAGAGAGGCGCAAATGATCTTGCCCTGGGTCTATCTCGGGCCCATGGTGGCAGCCAGGGACAAGGACTTCCTAGAGCGCGAGGGCATCACCATGGTGCTGGCTATCCGTGCGCAGGCTAAGAGCATGATGGGCGCGACGAATGCGGCTTCCCAGGTCTGCATGGAGGTGGGCAGCATCGAGGCGCCCAGCTTCTACAGCCTCACACCACAGTTCCCGGAAGCAGCGAGGCTCATCAATTCACACGTCGCACGAGTACGACAACATAGCTTGGAGACGACAGGACAAGCCACTCTCGGCAAAGTCCTGGTCTTTTGTGAATCGGGGAATGAGAAGTCGGCTGCAGTCGTTGCAGCCTACCTGATGCAGACGCTCCACGACATTGACTACATCAAGGCTATGCAGGTCTGCCAAGCGCAGCGCTTCTGCGTCAACTTCGACGACGTCTTGAAGAACATCCTGCGCGCTTACTGGGACATCATCGGTGCACGACGCTCTATCGCCACTTCGAACGCTCAAGCGACCCAGCAAAATGGTCTCGGCCACGGTTTCGCCGGATCGTTCTCGCTTCCTGTCCCGTCACTCAAGCACAAGCGTAGCGTCCAAGACATGCAGGACCACGATGAAGACACGGACATGGACAGTGGTATGGACGAGTCGGACGCGCTACGATTTGCAGGGCGTGATGTCACTCCCTTCCAGGATCGCTAGGTGTAGGCTCCTGGCTTCGGCGATTCTATTGATTTGTTTGTTAGGCGTTCCAGTAGCATTATACCCTGCATATCTCAAGGCGTTATATGGCGATGCGTCTGCATCTGAAAGGTTGGTTACGTGTGAGTTAATTCTGGAGCTCTGATGAGATGAGTGGATACGTGGGTTGGTTGCTCCTTCCATTCAGGCTGCCCGTAGTATCTGGTAGCGACACCAACGGGTCCAAATTTTCATCATACACGGCCCTTGCGCCTTCACACCTCTTTGCGCTCTGCAACTCATGCCTGTCCTCCTACTTCAGACTGTGTACAGTCACTTCCAAGGTCGTCAATTATGCGTCTGCATCGTGACACCCCGAACAGGTAGCTACCTAGGTAGGTATGGCACCTTCCCTTGGCTCGCCAGTTGAACCAGTGTTAATCATCGGGCAAACAGGTTCATCTGCGACAACCATGGACGCACCAGCAGAGACGAATGTCTTCCATGGTGAAGCATCTCGCTCCGATATCATTTCCCAAAGAAATCATTGACTATTACTGCTCTTCTCCACTCGCAGGTCGAGATGTTAGCGAATCATTACAGCGCCTAGTGGCTGCCTTATCTTTAAGAGTCACTGTGTTCGCACGTGGCTGTGGCTCTTGCAATATTGTTTGACCCTGGCAGTACCGCCCCCATGATGGCCGCTGACTTTCACTTTGTATTGACAGGGCTGCTATTGCACGCTAGACGCGTAGCAGTCACGATGCGGTGTCATAAAGGCCCAAACATGGTGGATGCGGTGAACTCTACGGTCACCACTTACCAATATCCCTCATCTTCTTCGTTCACAACGGGCTAGAACGCATCGATACCCAATCATCGCTCACATCATTCTAAAGTTCACGATATGCCTTATAGCCTCCGAGATCTAGCCAAATTGAAAAAGCCTGCACGCTACAGGTCCACCGCTGACGAAGAGTCCACTGCCCCAGAACCAGCTTCTAGCGACCAAGGTACAGACCTGAGCGACCAAGATGAGGAAACCCACTCCCAAGGACCTTCGCGCACAAATACGCCGGCCCCGAACCCAGACTCACTTAGATCTTCGTCTTTCACTAACGACGACGTTTATCTCACACCACACCCATTTTCGCCGCTCTTCATGTCCAACGCACCCCACCCCGCGCCAACAAGCGCAAGCAATCCACCAAACTCCCAAGAGAGTCGCAAAATGGCAAACATCAAGTACGTAAAGAAACGCTCTGGCGACGAACAGCAGCCCCAAGCAGCGCCAGTAGTACGCGACTTCGCCATGCGCCCTAGCAGGACCTCTCAGCGCGCAGCAGCTTCTGAACCCGAACCTGAGCCCACACATGTCCCTCAGAAGCCAGCGGCGTTCCCTTCGCTACCAGCCAACACTCCACCACCGCCGTTTGACCCGAAATTCTCGGGTCATGGTATGAGAGAGCTGATGGCGGCTATCGAGACCGGCGACAAGACGCGCATGGAACACATCAAAGACCACTTCAAGATTGAATACGAGGCGGGTAAAGATCCCTGGTATGTGGCCTTGAGGCGTCGCTGGGACCCTAAGATGGTCGATTCCAAGGTACGTGAAAACTGAACACCCTGGAGCCGACGTTGGCCTTAGACCGCCTACTTTGCATGTTTCCATCTTGATGTAGGCTCTGCAATTATTCATGAGGCTAACATACAATGGAGGTCACATTCGAATCTCTATGGACATCACTACGCCAGACCATCATCGAGCAGATAAAGGACGACTTCATTCCCGGCACCTATATCAGTCGCTTCTACCCCGTATGCTGCATCCTGAGCCTCTCCAAGGCGAAGCTGGATACGATTATGGCGGAGAACGCCGCAGTATGGGAGACCGAGGCTGAGATCCCACAATACTTCAAAGACTACAGAAGGCGATACCCTCATGCTATCATCGACCCGGAAGAGCCTCCCCCGGTCGAAGTGGTGAAGGCGATCAGATTCTTGAGACAGCAAAGGCTTCCTGTTAGTTTGTTGGGCGAGTGGCAGGCACTGCCGGGACCTGAAGTATTTCATCATCCTCACATGTTTCACCTTCCCACTGGACAACGTAGTAACGATCGATAGGCGTTTTATCAGCCTTCAGATAATGAAGTAGCAGAATCAATGGATGAAGTTGACCCGGTTTTCCGTTCTCAAAAGCGTAAAAGTAAACACCAAAACCACCTTTCGTATAGACAGACCCGCAAGCTGTTGAAACGTGCTGAAGGACAGGAGTCTCGACAAGCCGCAAGAAGACAAGAAGCAATCAAAAAGCTGCGGCAAGAGCGATGCCAGAAGTGTGAGGAGAAAGGTCACACGTTGTTGGAACTCGACGAGAGAGGAGTATACAAAGTAAATTCTCCGCAACCCCAGTCATTTCAAGCTGAAGACACACGGAAATTGAGCTAACCCTATCAAAAGTGTCCTGCGCGCCGACAAGAAGTCCTGCAACACCAGACAGAAGTCGACACCCTCCGCGCACAAGGCAACGCTGAATATGCAGCGCTCGATCAACGTGAGTAACCAGAACCCGCAACCAAAAGCCACCCTCCTAACCAATCCCAGCCTCCGGTCCCGAAGATGCCGCTCCATACCTCGAATACTTTCTCAACCTGAAAGCCAACCCGAACTCAAATCCATGCCTCGCCCGGCAAGCAAATCCCTCCAAACATAGTCCATACATGTCTACAGACCCCAGAGACCCGCTCTATTTACTAGACTGCTTCGGACAACTCCCGACTCCTCCCCCGAGTCCCTTTACAAAGGCGGGTTCAGCGAAAGGCAGTATCTCAGGCAGTTTCTCAGACATGGGGGAGCGCTATAGCACACCGTCCCCACTGCTACAAGAACTATCCGCGTATACACTGCCGGATCCACCCGTTTGGCCGAATACGGAACATTTGGGTGGTGTACGTATGCCTGTGCAAGAACAACATCTGCAGCAATATGGACCGGCGCAACAGGTACCAGCACAGCATATACCGGCGCAAAATATACCAGCGCAGCATGTACCAACACAGCATCCACAAGCCCAACCCACACCAACCCTCCACATACCCAAGAAACGCGGCCCATATAAGACAAAGGACAAGTCACTCAAAGCGACCCGTATCTCGCCAGAGAACAGAGTGGTGGGTAGAGGCGGCATGGTCAGTCTGGGTCACTCGAAAGAAGTGACGGATATGCTCAAGGCGCAGGTAGAGGCGCAGGCACAAGCATCATCACAGGCGCAGGTACAAGCTCACGCCCAAGCCCAAGTTCAAACACAACCCCAAGCACAGGTCCAACTCCAACCCCAAGCACCGGCACAGCCCCGGAATGAGGAAATACACAAGGAAGTTGAGTTGAAGTCAGATACGCCGCTGTTAACAGATACCACATCGATAGATGAGAATAAGAATGAGCCGATGGATAGAGGTGCGGTACTGCCGCCGTGTCCGTTCACGAATCAGACGGGTACAGCGACAGTGCAGGAGCAGGGAGATGTGTCGATGGTGGGTAAGACAGCGGACGGCCGTGAGAAGGGGAAGGGGAGGGCGGTGCAGATGTAGGTGGAGGAGGACGAGGTGCTGGAGACGGATCTCCCGCTGTGTTAGAACATGAGATGGTGGTTTAGACTAGGGGTTTGGATGGGAAGAGGTATCGTATCGCATCGTTAGAGACACCCAACACTCATATTGTTAGGTCTCGATACCCAATACCATCATTCATCAGCATTCAGACGTCTTTCTGTACATCTCACGTCACCATAATAGCAATGTGTGTTAAAGCGTGAATGTTTTCATTCTTGATCCAAGTGGGTATAATGCGTCCGTCATCTATGTCGTTTCCAAAAACCTCCCTCCAGAACTCCTTGCCATCACTTCCATTCAGCTAAACTGATCGCCATGCTCACTCTCGCCTCCAACGCGGCGCCCAGCTATTCTGCCTTGGCTCAACTTCCACCGCCACCGTCGTTCACGCTCGTCCTTCTCCCTTTGTTCTCGTTGAGCTTTCTTGCGCTCGTATACAGCGCGGACGGTCCGTTTTGTACGTTCAGCGCCTTCACTGTAGTTGGCGCGAGCGAGGTTTACGACACTATCGATTTGCTCCGGTGTGTAGACGAAATTCCAAGTCGACATGAAGTCGCTGACTTTGGGGTCAACACCGGGCACCTTTGGGTTAGCGAGGAAGGGGAAGTATATGACCGTGATACCAGAGGCGGGGTGCATGAGTTCCCAGTCTTCATCTACTTGTTTCGAAATCGGGTGCTCGGTGTCGGATTCGCGTTCCTCGGTGGTACCGACCCAGATGTTGCAGTAGCCTAGGTCTTTGCTCTTCTTGCTGTCCTTGTTTTCGTCGGCGCTTTTGTCCTTGGCTTCTTCGAATTTGGTCTGGGCTTGTTGTTCCGTCTTGGCCTGAACGCGTTCGAGGTCTTCCTGGAGGTCTTCCATAGGTTCGTTGTCTGGTGGCCAGCCTGCGCCGACGGGCCAACCCTTGATGCCGCGCTGGCGGGCGTAACCATCAGCAACCTTTAGCCAGTTGTCGGTCTTGACATCGGCGGAAGCGTCGAAAGCGACGAGGATGTCGACGTTGCGTCCAGGTCGGAGAAGAGGATAGATGGGTAGATTGTTGGACATTCCCGCGTCCATAAACTGGAAGTTCTTTTGTTCGAAAATGCTTTCAGGACATGATGGGGGGAGCAATTCGCGCATGCCGAGGGCGTAGTTGGGCATGGCGGCAGGGTCGATCGGGTGGACCTTGACGAGATCATCATCACGCTCAGCGATCATGGCGTCTATACTGCTGCCGAGTCCTGTGATACTGCGCATGAGGGGTCGGATCTCTCGGTAGTAGTGTGAGAGGGTCGCGCAGAAGGCAGACCCCCAGATCCCCATGAGTAACGGAACGCGCACTTCGGGCAGAGCTAGGCCGTTCTCACGCCAGACTGTACGCCCGTTCTTGAACTGACGGCCCATTGCCCAGGTAGGTATGCCAGCAGAGAGCTCCTCGCACCACATCTCGTAGGGCGTGAACTCAAACCATTGGAACCAGGCTTCTCTTCTTGCCTTTGCTTCGGCTGCGATGCGGTCTGTTGTGTCTCCTTGCTCGGCGAGCGGTATTTCGTGCCGTACCGCAGTGTAGATGGGCAGTGGATGTGATCCGTTGTCGGTATAGCGTCGCTGGTTCGAGACCTTGAAGTCGTATTCGCTAACAGAGAGTTCGCCTTTTGGTACGAGCAGGCGGGCGGCGAGCAGTGCGCCGTAGATATCCACCAGTCCAAAGTCGGCCTCTGGGATGCCCTTGGCCTTCTCAACAAGTCCGCTCAGGAGATATTTGTTGGTGGGCGCGCTGACGAGAAGTTCGAGCGCATCGGCTGGGAAGGCAATGTGCACGCCGAGACGGTTCTTGAGATGTCTGATCATGCGAGCGTGGCTGCGTTGGGTGAGATCCGAGTAGTAGAGGGTCTGTAGCCAACAGCTGCCACTGACACCAGCCGTGTAGGTGACGCAGTCGAAGAGACCATGTTCTTTCGAGGAGAGGTATGAAGACGTGCCTGCCACAAGCGCGCGCAAACCTCCGCCAGAACCGCACATGGCAATGACGGGCACGTCGTCGGGGTGTATCTGCGCTTCGGGAATGTCGAGGTATCGCGCAAGTGCGGCCTTGGTGAACTGCGCCCTCTGCTTCAGGAAAGCCTTCTCTTCCTCACACAGCTCGTCCGAGACCCTCACAGAGGCATCCCATATTATCTCGGGGTTGATCTCGGGATCATTGGCTTCGTACCAGATCTCTTCGGCGAGCGAGCCCGGTGCCATGGAGAGCTCATCCTGGAGTTTGCGGATGAAGCCGGGGAGGACCTTGACCCAATTCGGCACGATGTAGTCGATGATGGTATCGCCGAGCTTGGAAGGCGACGGGGAGGCGGGGAACTTGCTCGTGATGGTCTGCCAGGCTGACTTGCTCTGGCCGGCCTCCTCGTCCTCTTCGCTGTAGCCCTTGGCAACACGCGTCTGCGATGGCGCCTCCTGCTCGCCTGACTTGTGCTCGCCCTCCTCGTTCACCTGCCTCTCGGCGTCTCCGACCGAAGTGGTCTCGGTTTGTTTGTCATTGCCGCCGAAGAAGTATCGCTTGAGGGAAGGCGCGTCTAGATGGATGGGCCGGAAGAGTGGGTACGGCGACGATGCAGAAGAGAGATAGCCAGTCGCAGCAGTCGCGAGGAGACAAGGAGGGCCGTACCGCAGGCCGAGCGTGGCAGCCTTGGATCGCTGGGAGAGCGGGTGCTTCGTGTGCAGGCTGGTGCTATTAGCAGGGGCATACAATGGGTGGTGTGTTAGCTTACCCACGACGCGTCCCCCGCAGCGAGAAATGGCCCAGGTTGCGCGTGTTCCTATAGCCGGCCATGCACGCAATTGAGTCGGAAAGGGCAATGGGAGTGGGATGGAGGTGCCGTGCGAGCCTGGCACATGGGGAAATGCGCAAAGCCCACCGTTGCCCATGGGAATGCGTTAAGCATGACGGAGCATGTAACCTGCTTTGAGCCCGCAAAATTCCGCCAGAACTGGTTTCGGCATGACGCCAGCCGAATCACTGCCCGCTCAACGTCTGCCAAGCCATGCAGGAACGCTGAACCTGCCGCCAACCAACCCATGTCTCCACCATCCACTGGCGAAGACACCCGCGTTATTCGCGACTTACATGAGCTATACAAATTTGGTCCTTGAACGCGGTAGGTCCATGGACTATTCCAGTCTCGTATCGCAGGCATTCCGGTTGCTCGCAAGAAGACATGCTTCAACACCCATTCGCTACCAGCATAGAGATGTCTTTAATCTCGACTGATGCAACAGTCATTGAGACTGCAGCTTTCTCCAGTCTCCTGCCAATTCTGACGCGCTTGGTATGACCAACCTTACTCTCCGGCGAGAGTGCGGAGAATTCCCAATCCCCTCACTCACCTGTACGTACCTCAGAGCATACCGCACATGGTAAGTAAAGGGCATCATGAGTCGGTGCATGTCCCTTCTCTCACCTCTCATCCTGAGCTTGGGCTGTATCTCATCCCTCAGGACGCTACTTAAGTTCTCTAAACTCAAGCCTTCTTCTTCTTCCCCTCTACAATCATCTCCCATCGACCATACTTTCTCTTGAATCATTGATACACCCAATACTCTTTCGGCTCGATTGGGCAAGTTATTCCTGATCCAAATCGTACAATAGCCTCCAAGATACGATGGCACTTCGAGCATCAACAAGACCGCCTGGTCGGAGCCAAACACCTTCCCAGAAACGGGACCTCACCGCCATGCACAATGCGACGATTGACGAAGAACTTGCCAACGACCGTTGGTATGCCTTGAAGCAAGAGGAAGTTAAGGTCTTGGTCGAAGAATTGTGCGACAAGCTCACGAGTGCGATGCAGAAGTATTCGTCCGTCGACCAACGCTTCCAGGATCTGATTGATGCAGCAAAAATCGCAAGAAAACTACCTGACATCAGGCATTACAGTGTGGCAATACTTGGCGAGCAAGGCATTGGCAAGAGCTCCATCATCAACGCACTACTCGATCGAGGCCTTCTGGATCGATCAGGTTCGTCAAAAGCATGCACAGCTTATGCAACGGTACTTGAGTATAAGCCCGGAGCTACCGACCACACCACTCTGAGCGATCTTCTAGTTGTGTTTTTCACCAAAGAGGAGATCAGAGATTCTATCAAGGAACAAATGAATCACTGGGTCGAGGTCTACCCTGGCGTTGAGCATAATGGTCAGCCCCTCCGAGGCGAAGACGAAAACGATCCTGACGACAATAATGCTACTCAAACGCCACGGAAAAGGTTGTCCAAGACGATGTCGCGTGCGATCACTACTGCCAAGGAGTTTTTCGAGATCATCTTCAATGTGCAGAAAAATAAGCAGGCAGGTGTCGAGCTTGAGAGGGAACTCTATCACACGAACATCAAAGAGGGAAACTTCTTGAACGATTGTTGCAAACGAGCCAATGATCGATTCGCCCAACTTGCCACAGAGATGAGCGAGGTGGACCTTGAAACTCGGACCGCACATTTCAAGGACGTTCCTGACAACAGGCTTGGGAGAAAAACAAGCAAGATCAAGGAGCTGTGGCCGTTCGTGAAGGTTGTAACCATCGCGACTGGTCACATACTATTTCGGCATGGTTTACGTCTCTTCGACTTGCCAGGTAAGTCAACGGGTATTTTGGGACGACGTTAAGCTAACGAGAATAGGATATGGTGATATGAGTCAGTTGCGTGAAGGCGTCATCAACAACTTCCGCTGGAAGGCTGACTTTGAGATGGTGGTTGCGCCATGTTCTCGACTGCAGACCAGTGTCCTGCATGATGAATACATTGATCGGTCGATCCACCTCAAAGGAGCGAACAAGACCATATTAGTCATGAACAAGTCCGATGTCAGCTGAAGCCTTTTCTCTACTACAGTATCCAACTGACACATTTTTCAGGAACTCATCAACGAAGACAACATGGGCACACAGATTCGACAGATCAACGAGCATCCGTTCCCAGGCCTGAACGCACGCTTAGAGACCATCGACGGACTCTACGAAGAAGGGGATGCCGATGATAATGTCATCTCCGACATGCTAGACGAGTTACTGAGAGAGGCCACAATTGCTTACATAAAGTATGAGACAGCAAATGTGCAGAGACAAATGCAGCCTAAGGGAATCAAGGTTTTCTCGGTATCTGCACTCGCCTACACCTCATCGAGAAGTCGCATTCAGAAAGACACTCCTATCCTTGACGACGACACGGCCGGTATCTATACGTTGAGACATTTCCTAGCTACGTTGTCGGCAGCCACCAACTATCGGAATTTCTACGACCATGTCCACGAAACGCTACCATCATTCCGAAGACAAGCTGAACGACCTTTGGAGAAGCACATAGAAGACAAGAGTTATGCTAAGATGCGACGCGACTTGAAGGCTCAGATCCAACCACTTAGGAACAACTTGAAGAATCTGGCTGACAGCCCCCTGCATTCTCTGGTAGGAAAGCCTTGGTCCCAAAACGAGGAACAGAGTATCATAAGTGGCATACAGCAGCTGGTGCAGAACTCGTGGGTCCATCCCTTGATCTACTACCCGGGCTTTGCAAAGATGCTCGCGGAGAACGGCAAACCAGTCTCCGGAAAGTATAAGGGTTACAACATGAACTATGAGCTCCTTGGTACCATGAAAAGGTTTCTGGACAATTGGTATAACAACTTGAACGCCAGCACCGTGGAATTCGCTATGAGCCTATACAGGGTGCTTCAAAAACTGTTGCAGGAAACTCGATCGGCCATCACCCAGTCATCCGCACACCCGGCTCTGAAACTAAGAGCTACTGAAGAGTTGGCCCTAGTAGAACGACGCGTCCAGGCGGCATATGACATGTTGCTCGCTAGTCTTCGCGTCTCGCTTGGAGAAACTCATCTGCGATTCACCACGGAGATCGACATCTACTGTCCAATAGCAACTGCAATGAAGGCCTCCTACGACCTAGCCTCCGATCGAAACATGGTTGGCGCTGGCCCAGGAATTTACAACAGGCAACGACAAGCGCTACAGAACTCGATCATCGGCAACCCAACCTATGGAAACTACGGCTATGGCCCGCCTGGCGAGGCGTTGCGTCCACTTCTCAAGAATATCGAAGAAAAGCTTCAGACCCACCAGAGAGACGCGTGGAAGACCGATTGCGATGCCTTCGTCACCAGCGCTGTTGACCTTATTGAGGGATTCTCAAATACTGCTGAGCAGCTTCTCATGAACTCCTCGTATGTGACCGAAGAGCACAAACAGGCTCGTGGCGAGCTGAGGAAGCTACTCAATGATTTCGATATGAGCCTTGAAGATGTTCAGGGCCGATTCATCGGCGGAGAAGAGGAGCATACTGAGAAGAAGATCAAGCGCGAGGAGACGGAAGATGAGGCATTAGTCGCATCATCTGCTCTCGATCCGCTGGTCCCTTCGGTGCCAATCTCGCAGAATGAAGGTTGGACTCAGTTCCGCGAGTGGTTTGGTGGCGGTCGCCCTGGACAGTGATGGTTAACTGCGTTCTCTGCCTTGACTTGCGCATTGCACATCTATGCGACACATGATTTCCTTTTCTGCTTTCATTCTTGTTTTCGCGACACTGTTTTCTTTCCGCACTTTCACGACTCAGAGATCGATCAGCTCGGCAAGCGACCATCATTACCTCGTCTTCATTCTTTCAAGTATCATCGATGCCCTGGCGAGCATTTGACGTGTACGGGATAAAAGCACCATAGCTTCTGCGTATCTAGTTTACTTAGTACTCAATTGTATACCCTTGTACAACATCCGTCTGTGCTCACATGCGCCACAGTGGTACTTGAATGCAAGGCGCATACGCGTCGCCGAAACATACGTGATACGCAGACAGCGGGTTTCCGGTGGCAGGCGAGGCTGATTAGCGCATGTACCCGCTGTGAAAAACGTCATTCTGGGGTATCAAAGCCCGCAGATAAATTGACTGCCGTGCAGTTCTACGCGTAACAAGCATGTATTGCATGAAGCCACGATGAGTAACTCGACTGCGCGGCTTATCGCAAAGTGAAAGGTGTCGAGATGATCTACGCTGGACCCTGGCCGTCTTAGCGTTGCCTCCGCGACAGCTCTCCGCAAGCATCCCCTCCCACATCATCCTACGGGCGCGCATCTCGTATTCCCCAATTGGCTATTCTTTCGTTTGTACAAACATATGCTGTACTTCATGTTCGCTTCATTATTACCCGTCCGTTTGATATAATCGAGGTCGTCCCCTCCGCCGTACGCGCGTACACGTAGCCCTCGAGGCAGTTGCGCATCTATCCAGCAGTCGCCATGGTCGCCCCTCGGAAAGCCGCGCTCCTGGAGGAGAGTGCGGAGGTCGAAGTGCTCTTCGCCAACATGGAGAAAATGAAGACGCTCACAAAAAAGATCCAAGGCTCCGTCAATAGGCTGGACGCGAGCGGAAAGGCAGTCCAGGAAGCAATCGGCCCAATCTACGGCAACACACAGAAGCTACAGATAGCAAACAACAACGTCGACCGTATAATAGACGCAATCGACCGTCTCCGAGCCCCGCGCGAAGAAAGTGCAAAGGAAGAGAGGATTATCCGCGCTGGACCTGGACGAGGAGACCTGGACGGCTACATTGCTTCGCTCGACCGCACCAACATGAGTCTCGCAGACCTCAAGCGCACCAACCTTCGCTCCAACGAACAGGCCATCGCAGAGCTTAGTGGGCTCTTGAAGCTGGGCAACAAGCAATTGGAGGATGTGTTCCGCGGCATACTGCAGGATAGCGCGAGAGAAAAGGTCCAGGCCTTGGAATATGTCGCAAAACGTATGCCACTCATGTACTACGACTAGGGAGATACTGACACTGCATAGAAAACCCCTTCCCTCGCATGCCCCAAGATAAGCTCCAGAGCCTGCGCAGCATCAACTCGCACATTTCCAAGTCCTTCGCCCAGTTATCACAGATCGACCTGTCGCAGACCCCCACACGAAGAATATACGCAGACGTCCGAGGCGAATACCTGGAGAGCGCACTGAGGAGTCTCATGCAGGCGACCATCAGTACAGCCAGGAAGGTGCAGGCAGATGCGCTGTACAAGAAGGGTACTAATGGTATCGGCACATACGTCCAAGCGATAGAGGGCCTGTTCGTGGCGGAGTTCGACAACCTGAACTACGTCTTTGACAGAGAGGAATGGGCCGATGTCTACGAGTCAACGTGCCAGGTCCCGCTGCAGGACTTTAGCAAGACCCTGCGTGAGCTGAACGGGCATATTCAGAAGAACCTGCTGACGGACTGCTTTCTGGGATACGAGATCTGCGGGTTGGTCCGGACTCTGTCGATGCGGCTGCAGAAGCAGACTGGCGCCCTGAAGGATCAGATCTACGACAGTGTGAAGCCGGTTCGGGAGACGTCGAAAACGTCTCTGAGCAAGATGCTCGAAGATACACGGTCAAAAACACAAGGTCTCATTGCGCTTCCTATCGACGGCGGTCCGGTGGACATTACAACGCAGACGATGCGACGCTTGCAAGAAATGACCAACTACCTCGAACCTCTCGCTTCGATATTGGCATCTTTGGGAGAGGGCGGTTGGAACTCTGGATCGGCTAACAACTCATCCACGACTTTGGATGTTGGCCCCGACGGCGTAAAGCTGTTCGGGTCATATGCGGCGGATACTGTCGACACACTTCTGCAGAATCTAATTGGCAAAGCAAAGACACTACTGAAGGGCAAGAACCTACAAGGTGTCTTCATGGCCAACAATATCGCTATCATCACACGCATCATTCGCTCTTCAGAACTCGCACCGCTCATGGACAGCTACTCGAAGAAGCTGGCAGACTGGCGCAAGCAAGGCACGGCCATGTATCTCGAAGCGTGGCGTGAACCATCAGGGTACCTGTTGGATGTGCAGTACACAAACCGTAGCAAGGAACGCCCAACGTCAGGCGGTGCAGATTCGGCAGCTATCGTGAAGTCTCTCAGCTCCAAGGACAAGGATGCAATTAAGGAGAAGTTCAAGAACTTCAACACAAGCTTTGACGATCTCGTCACACGACACAAGGCGTACGCAATGGAGCCCGAAGTGCGGAACCAGCTTTCCAAGGAAGTACAGAACATCATCGAGCCCCTGTACAACCGGTTCTACGACCGCTACCGGGAGATCGACAAGGGGAAGGGCAAGTACGTCAAGTACGACAAGACCGAGTTGAACAGGGCATTGGCGAGCTTTGCATAGCGAGGTGCTGCGGCGTTGGATTGGAGTTGTTTGCTTGGGACATGCGCAAAATACCCTTTGATTTGCATAGATAAGACGATGGACTGGATATGGGTATGCCGATGGTCGGGATGGACGCGATGTAATTGGATAGGTGTCGAGTCTTACATCCCGCGACCTGTGGTGCCACGCTGCAGCAGCGTGAGCGGCAGCGTCGGGGTGCGACAGCGGTGTCAGGGTCGAGGCAGATAGTCGTGAGGAAGCAACGACCGCTTAATGTCTAGTCAACGCGTTGCTCGTGCCTTCTAATTACCCACACGTGACGCTACCTCTTTGGGAAGCACGGTTCGCGACTGCCTCTTGCAGCAGTGCACAAGAGCACAAAATCTTCAACAACGTGAAAGGTGTCAACTGCATCCCTCCTACACTCTCCCTCACCCGCGCTGCTCTCACTCGTGTGTGTTATTTCCAGCGGTATTCGACGCCGGCTCGCTGCTAGTGGTGACGCGGGGATTTTTGGTCTAGTGCCCATTGCTTCGGCGTTGCTCCAATCGCGCCCATCCCTGTGCGGACCCCTTTCCTCCACCCAGCGACGGACGGCACCACGACTTCCCTTTCCAACGTCGCAGCCTCCGGACAACCACGCCATTTTCCTTCGCAGCCATCTGCACCACCTTCAATTCATTGCTTTGAGTGCATCACTCACTCGAGAGCATAACTACCGCTGACTGGTACGCCGCCCTTCCCTCACGCCTGTCTCACTTTATTTCTCCCGATCTGGGCTTGGTCGCGTTGTTACATTTGTTTAGCAGCCACGCAGCCAGCACCAGCACGCATTGAGAGCCTCCGCTGACATCGCTTCCTCATCTGCAGAAGTCCCTCACTTGACGACCCATCGTCCGTTTCTACTACACTATTTACACCATGGGTAAGGAGCTCTCCCCGACCCCCGTCTCGCGACATCAACAACTACACCTCAGCCACGGCATCATTGGCACCTCAGGCACACACGCGGTGGCTCTTGGGAAACGCCAAGCAGGGTCAAGCCTGTTTGGCATTGGTCGCTGCTGCCGCGCCCGACGGCCGTGATTTCTCTCTCCTGGCCCCTGGCTAACATTCTGCTGTAGAATCCAACGGTGCTACCTCTCCCGCGCCGCCCACCCGTGCGTCTCCATCGCCCCCAGCGTCGTCCAGCGGATACGGCATGGATCAAACGATGTCGATGTCTAACGGCTCCTCTCCAGCGGTGCACACCATCACGGCGAAGAACCCCAAGGCCGCAGCTGCCATGGCAAACGACATGAACATCGTGCGCAGGAAGCTCACAGGCTACGTTGGCTTTGCGAACCTGCCCAACCAGTGGCACCGCAAGAGTGTGCGCAAGGGATTCAACTTCAACGTCATGGTTGTCGGTACGTGTACCCCCGCCCAAGTATTGTCCATCCGAGCTAACGTGTCATTTCAGGCGAGTCTGGACTCGGAAAGTCGACCCTCGTAAACACGCTCTTCAACACTTCGCTGTACCCGCCCAAGGAGCGCAAGCCCCCCAGTCTCGACATCTCCAAGACCGTATCGATCCAGTCGATTAGCGCCGATATCGAGGAGAACGGTGTCCGCCTGAGGTTAACAGTAGTCGACACACCCGGCTTTGGCGACTTCATCAACAACGATGAGTCCTGGGACCCCATTGTCAAGAACATTGAGCAGCGCTTCGACGCCTACTTGGATGCTGAGAACAAGGTCAACCGCATGAACATCGTCGACAACCGCATCCACGCCGTTGTTTACTTCATCCAGCCCACTGGCCACTCCCTGAAGCCCATCGATATTGAGGTGATGAAGAAGCTCCACACCAAGGTCAACCTGATTCCCGTCATTGCCAAGGCCGACACCGTTACTGACGATGAAATTGATAACTACAAGAAGAGGGTACGTCGCTCCATCTACATATTTGGACACTGCTAATAATTACAGATTCTTGCAGATATCGCCTACCACAAGATCCAGATCTTCGAGGGCCCACGGTATGAGCTTGACGACGAGGAGACCATTGCGGAGAACCAGGAGATCATGGCCAAGGTTCCCTTCGCCGTTGTCGGTTCCAACACCGAGGTCACGACTGTTGACGGCCGCAAGGTCCGCGGGCGTGCGCTGCCCTGGGGTGTCGTCGAGGTCGACAACGAGGAGCACTGCGACTTTGTCAAGCTGCGCCAGATGCTCATCCGCACCCACATGGAGGAGCTCAAGGAGAACACTAACAACGCCCTGTACGAGAACTACCGTTCCGAGAAGCTT